AGCTTCGATAAACAGAGGCAGTTAGTGTTGTCCCGCACTCGCCACATTCTCAAGTGTTCCAATGTACACATCATTTACCATTTTATGCATTGTCACATGTATCCGAAGAAAAAATATACGAGATTGAATTCCCAAAATCGTGACGAACCCCAAAATTCGAATCAATAGAATTTTTCAAGTGATAAGATTGAACGATAGTGCCCCAGAGTGACATGAACAATCCGAAATTACTGCAAAAAAAAACATCCACCAACTTGAATTATCGATACTCGATCGAATATAAATTTCTTTCCCACGTATGGACCCGGGTGGTACCTCTAACTACCTCGTTTTCACGGTCACGGTGACTCCCACGGGGGCCCCCACGACGTTACGCCAGACCCAGAGGGGCGTGGGGGAGAGGGAGGAGGAGGAGGAGGAGGAGGAGGGGAACGCCATTATCTTGGTGAATCTCAGTCCCCACTCCCCGGCTGGACCACCCCGCTCGTCTCACCGAACATTATCATCCCTCGAAAGAATAAATCAGAGACTGATCTCGATTCAATATTCGCTGGTTTGAAATTCCCTCCAATATGTATATTCTGGTTTACTTAGTGGTGAATATTTTGGTGAGAATTGGTTTTTGTGTGGAATGTGACTGGTGAAAAATGAATTTAGATGAGTTTGTTTTTTAGGTCTATTAGGCGGAAAATTATGAAAGGTCAAGTGGGAGAGACAGGGGGAGGGTCGAATTTTCTTGAGGGTTAAACGGGAGTGATGAGAAGGGTCAAACGTTCTTAAGGTTCTGATGGGAAAGGGGAGGGGAATGATCACTTGGCTCATCTGTCCCGTTTGACCTTTAAATAACTACCTTCGCTACCATTCCACTTTGCCCCACTTGCCAAATCTTCTTGAGGGTCAAACGGGAGAGACAGGTGGAAGGTGAAATTCCCTCAATGATTAAACGGGAGTGACGAGCGGAATAATCAAAAGGATCAGACGTTGTTAAGGATCTGATGGGAGTAACGAGAGCAGTAATCACTTAGCTCGTCTCTCCTGTTTGAACCACTTGACCCCTTCACCTGTCTGTCCCATTTGACCCTCAAGCAAGTTCGATTCTCTTCATCACTCCGTTCCTTTCTCTCCTTTAACCCTCAACACTGTTTGACCCTTAAACAACTACGTTCGCTACCGTTTCACTTTGCCCCACTTGTCAAATGTTCTTGAGGGTCAAATTCTCTCAAGAGTTCAACGGGAGAGACGAGCGAAATAATCAAAAGGATCAGACATTCTTAAGGATCTGACGGGAGTAATGAGGACAGTGATCATTTAGCTCGTCTCTCCCGTTTTAATCACTTGACCCTCCACCTGTCTCTCCCATTTGACCCTCAAGCATGTTCGATTCTCTTGAACACTCCGTTCATCTCTCTCATTTGACCCTCAACACTCTTTGATTCTTCAACAAAATTCGCCACCCAATTCCCTCCCTAAAATAAACTCAAAACTTCATATTCTAAATAACTTCCCCGCTAAATCACCCAAAATAATCTCAGACAGCCGAAAAAAAAGTCCCCGACTGACCGAAAATAGAGTGGAAATTCCAGTTTTCTCATTTTTCCTCAAGACATTTTGATACCCTGGCAATAACATAGAGGTGGAAGGGGGAGGGGGGGGGGGGGTATATATATCTTTGTTGGTGAACGCGTCGCCTCCTGACCACCTGGCATCCGTCCCACCTACGTGAAAGTTCGCATCGGCGACTAACAGCCACCACATTCTCGTGCACCGCACATTTTCAAACAAATTTTATTTGCTCGAAAAAAAAAGAAAATCACCACTCAATCAGTTCATTTTTCTCATTATCTTAATCCCGGCAATTACAGCCAATGTAAAACTCGACATTTGATGTCATTGAGTAGATAACAGAATTTGTGATAAAAAGCGTACTTTGAGAATTAATGGTCTAATAGATGAGAGACTAATGTGAATAGTTCATTCATTTGTGATTTGTTGCAACGACATAGATCGATTTCACTGGCTCAGTCGATCAATCTTCATTATTTCCCCAAATAATTAATTTTTAAAAAAAGTCAAGAAACATTTTCGCTGCAGAATTTTCTGCTTTACATTTCTATCGGACATATTTTTCCATAAAACCCATATCCAACGAGATATTCATAATTAATTGAACTAAAATATGACAGTGATGAAGAGAATTTGAAATATGAGAAAATTGATTAGTTTAAACTCGAATTATCTCCGAAAATGATCGATTTTTGAGAAAAACTCACAAAATACTTTCTCTTCAAAATTTTCTGCTCTACATACAACACATGCTTCCGACATATTTCTCTATATAACCCATATTCAACAAGATGTTCATCAAAAACTAAACTGGAACCTAAAAATCTATGAAAATTCCCTTCAATCCCTCTAAAAAATTAATTTTCAAAACAAAAATCAGAAAACATATTTTCTCGAAAATTTTCTCCTCAACATCTTGCGTCCGCCTCCAAATATGAAAATATTCCATTCCCCAGCCCGATCCCTAAAAATCTAAAACCCCTAATACTACTTAATTCACCCCGTAAAAATCCCCTAGCCAGCCTGCAAAAAACATCAAGAATTTTATTTCCATGTGGGATTTTGCCATTCAAGGATATACGCAAGCAGTCGAGACTATCGCTATTTGTCCCGTGCGTCTATAAATAGTATCAACTGCTGTTGATTTACGAATAAATGAAAGCCTCTTTCGTTGTATTCGTGGTTAACATGTGTATGTAGTGGCTTGAATTCTCGAATGCCTGTTGCTCTCCTTCCTCGCTGCCCCCTCGCCGCCCTGCCACATCTATTACCATTACCATTAAATATAAAGTGGAGAGAGGGAAGAGGTTCTTCTCGCTAACTCTGTCTTACTTTGTCACGTGTATACTCACTGCTCAGTGAAAATTCACCGTAGACTGTGCGATTCCACTCCTCTCGAGTATTATTCCTGTTTTTGGCTTCCGAATGGAACCATTGTATTCATCAAATCCGAAATTTCTAATTTTTTTGTGTCAGGATAACCAATTTTTGCGTCAGGAGGTTGAATAAACTATTTTTAGATCATGTCCGGATGTATGTATGTGTGTATGTGTGTATGTGACCGATCTTTTTTTCAACGATAACTGAAATAATAATTGTTTAAGTGAATCGAATTGTGATTTAAAATACTCTTCCCAATACCATCATGACCGAGTTCGATCATGAGGTTGATTGTATCATCTGTTGTTGAAAAAATTTATTTTTAATATTCAGGGATAGGTAAAATTTTTTAACTTTGGGGCAATGTTGAATGAAATGAATTTATGAATTTAATTTGAAATAAATCGTCATAGAAATTCCATTAGGAAGCAAATTGCCAATTTATTAGCAAAAATATATTGAAATATGTTGTGACGAAAGCAATGTTGTCCCACTTGTTTTTTTTATTCAGTTGAATCTTTTGTTCAGTGGAGAATTTATTTATTTCATTTTTTTTAAATTTATTTATTATCTTGTAGACACTACGACCGAAGGCAACTAGACAGTCAAATCAATATCTTAATGAGGATTTAAATTTTCCTCAGTACAGACTTCACGAAATGGACCTTTTTCATACCTTTTGATCTCCCATAATGAAAAACTTCCCTGACAAAAATTCTTCAATCTCCCCCCAACCTTAAAATATTCCCGAAATAGTCGCAAAACCCCTCTCTAAATCCATCGCTACTGCCCATCATCGATCAATCAATCAATCAACCTTCCCCTCCCAAATATCCCAATAAATATTGATGCCCCAGAAAACCCCTTATCCCAAAAAATGTTCACCCCCCTCAGACGAACATCTTTCGCATTCAAAATTTCCATCTCGACGCAGCATCTCCGGAGATAAATAAGAACAAAGTGAGAATATCATTTTTTCCCCAACAATGCATTTGCAGCCCATCGTGTCAGTTTGGACTGCAATTGTTGCACAACGCGTTGCACGTCGAGAGTTCCCCACACACACCGGCACTACTTGAGAGTGCGCGCGGGCTCTCTCAAGGTGGTCTCGTCTAAATATAGCCGACCGCCGGCCAGGAATAACGCCAGTCAGCTAGCCGGCAATGACCAATGCACCCTAACACCACGCCCTCATCATTTTTCTCCCGCCCTCACCCTCCTTCTCCTCACCTCGCCGCTTTTACCCCCCTGACCCCCCGGGAGATACTCTCTGCACATCATAATCAACTTGTAAAAACACCAGACTTTTCAATTATTTTTAAATAGGAAATAATGTAATTTACGTCCGGGAAATGTGACGGAAATTAAATTTTTTTCGAATGGAATTGTTTTTTCTTTTCATTTTCATTTGAGAATAATTTTTATTGGGAGGAAAAGGGTTAGGGGAGGAAGAAAGGATTGTGGTGAATTGAGTTGACTGTTTTTTTTTTCTTCATTTCTACTTACTGGAGATAATGATGAAGGGTCTAATGAGAGGGACGAGTGGAGTCATCACTTCGTTCGTCTAGTTAAAGTTAAATCCTCGCGATCACTTCTTTTGTCTCTCCCGCTTGATCCTCAACACTGTTTAACCCTAAACAGTATTTGACCCTTTATAATTTTTTTGAGTAATAGAGATAGAAGGGTGTAGAATCAAACAAAGTTGAAGATCAAACGGGAGACACCGATGAAGGGTCAAACGTTCTTAAGGATCCACCGGAAGATATTAGATGAGTGATTACTTCCCTCGTCCCTCCCATTTGACCTTCTTGACCCCTCCGCCTGCCTCTTCCGTTTGACCCAAAACAATACTTGCCCCTGCAATTTTTTTTCCAACTAATACAGATGGAAGACTTTAGGGTCAAACGGGAGAGACAAAAGTTGTCAAACATCCAATGGGAGAGACGCGTGGAGTGATCCTGAAAAAAGTTTGACTTGATTCCTCTCTCCTATTTAACCCTTAAACAACGAAACCCCCCGAAAGGAAATACCAATAATCATACCATTATGTCCCCCAGAAATGTTCCGACTACAAAGCCTCCAAAGTACCAACATTCGCCCGGACCGAGCCACCCGACACACAGGTAACCAAGTCACTGATAGCCCTACTGTTGCATTACGGTTGGAACAAATTCACGATAATAACCGAGAGTGCGTGGACAACAGTGGCAAAATCCCTGGAGAATCAGGCTGCCAAGAACAACCTCACGGTGAATCACTACAAAACCGTTGAAGATCGTCACACATGTTGCGAGGATCGTTTGCCCTGTTGTCACGTTGGGGTTTGGTTCCAGTTGATTCAAGAGACCAAGAATATGACACGTATATACATATTTCTCGGTACACCAATGTCTCTCATTGATCTTATGGGTGCTATGCAGAATCAGAGACTCCTTGATAACGGTGAATACATGGTTATTCACGTTGATATGATGACGTATTCGCCTAGAGAGGCGCAAAAGTACTTATGGAAGCCAGAGGATTACGATAAATTGAAGAATTGTCTCGAGCCCAAGGATTTTCTCAAACGTGCTAGATCACTAATGGTTGTGGCATCGAGTCCACCCACCCAGAATTATGAAGAATTCACAAAAAGAGTGAGGGATTACACGTCTAAAGAGCCATTCAATTTTCCAGTACCTGATCTTCTGATGAAGTACGAGAAGTACGTGTCTATTCATGCGGCTTATCTGTACGATTCGGTAAAGCTGTATGCTACGGCATTGGATCAACTGATTCGTGAACAGCCTGAGAGCAGTCTTGAGGAGATTGTTAGCAATGGAACGATGATCATTGAAACCATCATCAAGAGGCATACGTATCAGAGTGAGTATTGCTGGAAGGATGAGGGCTTTTTTGGAGATATCTGGGAATGGGGGAGAGATGGAAAAAAATTTGTTTCCAACTTTTTGTAGCTCTTGTTCTCCTCTAGAAAAAATATCTGAATGAAATTTTCGCAATCTTCCCTAGATCTAAAGACATTCAGCACCAACAGAAGTTTAAAACCAGTGGAATCTCTGAAAATATCTCAAAATCCACGAGAGGCAGAAAAATTCTTGTCGCTCTTATTCTCCTCTCCAAAAAAGTTCTCCCCAAAAAATCACCCATCTCCTTTCAATCTCGAGATATCCCTCAACAAACAAATGGCTCACAATATTCATTCTTTTTCTCCAATTCCTCAGGCGTGGGTGGACAAACGATAAAACTAGACAAAGCAGGTGACTCAGAGGGAAATTTTTCAGTACTAGCCCTGAAGAAAGAGCACTTTACCCAAGAGAACTTCAGCTGTGAGTTCCAGATGAAGCCAGTTGGGCAGTTTCAACAGGGTGAAACTCTAGTGAGTGAGTTGGTGTTAAAAAAACAAAAAGAGAGAAGAAAAAAAGACTTGAAACCCCCTCGATTCTGAATAACTAGATTATTAATTAATTCCATTAATTGGCGACAGGTGTACAGACCATCGGAGTCCATGGAATGGCCGGGAAAGAATAAACCAGAGGCTGAACCAGGCTGTGGATTTTTGAATGAACACTGTCCCAAAGATGATACACATCTTCGTAGTATCGTTGCTGCTGGTATTCTAGCTGTTCTACTGTTTTGTGCTGCTGTTATTACGATGAGTATTTACAGAAGATGGAAAATTGAACAGGAAATTGAGGGTCTGCTTTGGAAAATTGATCCTAGTGAAATTCATGGATATCCACATCTGGATAATCTCATGTCGTCACCTAGTAAAGTGAGTTTATGATACTTGTGTTTATTATTTTTTAATTTTATAAAAATGCACTGGGGAAATTATCATCATTCTCGCGTTTATACAGAGAGGAGATTTAGATCTAAATCTATTGGATTACGAGATATTTAGAAAAAAAAATCACCTTAAGGCCCGGGTGGATTATCTTTCAAACGTCCTCTTGGTTGTTTTTTTTATTTTGCTAATCTGAAATTATCTCCAATTGCTATTCAGTTTTACAGTGCCCTGGAGTCTAAAAAAATTATGATTGTACAATCAAAAAAACCTTGAAGAAAAGCTGAACATTTTCAAAGAGTGTTTTTGAATAATATTGGGAAATAAAGCCATTAGAGAGGTAATTGCAAATTAATAAGTTTATGTATCTAATGGCTGTTAGGTTGTCATTTGTCACAGTAGTCAATGGCTGTCAGATCGTTAGTTACCATCAGTGATGGGCATATTCATTAATCATCATTACGATTAAATTGAGAAGTTGTCAATTTTTAACATAAATCTTAAATATTAAAATTAAATTTTAAATATTAAATTAACCATCAATCGGAAAATTTAGTTATTAAATTTCATAATATTTTTAATTTGTTAAATATAGTTAAACTTTCAACAATATAAGGAGATAATCCTTCTTAATATTATCAAAATCTATTATTATTGGTCTTCCCTTTGGACTTATTTCTTAATCTTTATTAAAAACGCTCTTTGAAAATGTTCAGTTTTTTTTTCTACTTTCTTTGATTGTACAATCATAATTTTTAGGGACTCTCCTGCGTGATGTAAAATCCAATGGAAATTGTGATATATTTTACATTATGAAGATTATATTTTGTATTTTACATTATAATTCACCCGACACTTAAAATGAAATTTCCTATTAAAATCAACCTTAATTTTATTTATGTTTTACAGTTAAGTTTAGTTAGCGCAATGTCATACGAGTCAAGATGCGGTGGCCAAGTGTTTGCCCAGACTGGCCATTACCACGGTGTCGTAGTGAGAATAAAAGAGCTCAAATTTTCTAAAAAAAAAGACATATCACGTGATGTTATGAAGGAGATGAGAATTTTACGTGAAATAAGGCATGGAAATCTCAATTCATTCATCGGTGCATGTGTCGAGCCCATGAGGATACTGTTAATTACCGATTATTGTGCCAAAGGAAGTCTTTACGTGAGTACAAAAATCCCCAAACAATAAATTCCCCAAATTATCCCTCGAATTGAATTAATTTTCCCTTCTTTAAATTTGTTTCATGATTTTTTTTTACAGGACATAATTGAAAACGAGGACATAAAATTAGACGATATGTTCATTGCGTCATTAGTTCATGATCTCATTAAGGTGAGAAAATCGATAAAATGTCTTCTGAATCGTCTGGAGGGACTTTTTTGAACAATGTTTTGTCTTTTTTTTTCGTGCAGGGTATGCTGTATATTCATGAATCTTCAGTGCTAGTCTGCCATGGTAATCTCAAATCGTCAAATTGCGTTGTTACGTCACGATGGGTACTACAAGTGTCTGATTTTGGTCTTCACGATATGAGACACTGCGCCGAGTCCGACAGTATCGGTGAACATCAGTATTATCGAAGTGAGTATTAAAAAAAAAAAAAAAAAGACATGAAAAAAAATAGACTCCTTAAATGTGGAATATCTCCTGACCTGATGATGCGATCCTAATTACTCATGAATTTCACTCAACGGATCCTGAACAATGTGAAAATGAAATTGTGAGACGTAACGGAGAAAAACGAAACAAGTTGATTTTAGATGTCGTGTTAATTGTTTAATTATCTCGGTTACGAGTGGTTTTAGAGGGAAATGCCACACAACCTTTTTTGTACAGAATTAAATTTTCTACAAAAATATTTTATGACATTTTGATTAATGACTGAATTAATGTCCAAAGTCATTTCTTCCATTTTCTAAATCTTCAATTGTCTGAATACCGAGCCAGTAAATAAAAAAAGTCATAAAACCATTTTTGTAGCTCATGAAATTCCACACAAAAACTGACTAGTGAAATTTCCTTCTAAGCTCATCCAATACCAAGATAATAAAGAAAAAGCAAAATCTCAATTTTCCCAGATCTGTTCTGGAAGGCGCCAGAGTTGCTGAGGAACCCCAACGCCCCAATAAGGGGCACCCAAGAGGGTGACATCTACTCATTCGCCATAATTCTCTTCGAGATGATAGGGAGAAAGGGTCCCTACGGTGGAGTCAACCTAGAGCCCAAAGGTAACCCCAGAATAAAGTAAAATCCTTAAAGGGTAACAGAAAGCCGACTATTCCTCAAAATTTTCAAACAAATTTCCTGCTCAAAGTTATATTAGTATTTTTTTTAACCCAAAGCACATTCACCCAAATCATCCATCATCATCACCTCCTGGAAATTAAGGGGAAAGGGAACCCCTGTGTCTATATCAACTTTTACAATTGTGTTTTCTCATGTAATTATTATTCTTTATTTATCAAACTATTTAATTGACTCAACAATGCAATCCCCAAAAGTTCATGTAGACAAAGGGGTTCCGTTTCCCTTTAATGTGCTTTGATTTGTAAAAATATCGATATTGGAAAATTGGCCGCATTCTGTTACCCCTTATGGGGAGACTACTATGAGTTTCAAAAGTCGCGGGCTATTGGAATGCGATTTCTTATACATTGAAGATCGATTATATGTCTAAAAATGAATAAGTAGTGCAAAAAAAAATTGTTTATTGTTCATTTGCCCCGCAGACGCTTAAAATGTTGAAAATAGTCCAGGGCCTCCAATTTTTGGGCCGCAAAGGTTTATTTATTTTTTTCGAAATTTTTGAAAAAATATGTGCAATAACAATTACGAATTAGTTTTTTGAAATTCAGAAAAATTCAATTCTGAAAAATGTTTCTGAAAGAACCGAGAATATATTTTAAATATTTTAAGGATAATTTTTCAGCCTATTTTACATGAATGGCGCAAATTTTTATTTTAAACAAAACGAAATTAACTGTGTAATGTAGCAGTCGAATTTCAAAAAGCCAATTTGTAATTATTATTGCACACATTTTTTCCAAAATTTTTGAATAAAAAGAAACCTCTGTTGCTCAACAAGTCGACCCCTAGGACTATTTTCAACATTTTAAGGATCTGCAGAGCAAACCAAGAATAAACAATCAATTTTTTTGCACTAATTATTCGTTTTTAGACATAGAGGAGAGTCGGGAAAAATAGGCCGTTTCACTTATAAATGAAAATATTGACAATTGGAAAGATCAATGTGTACGAGAAATCTCACTCCAATCGCCCGCGACTTTTAAAACCCATAGTATTCTCCCCTTAAAAAAAAAACGAAATGAAACGAAAAAAAAAACAGGCAATTGACTGAATTCTCTTGCCGAAGAAATAATTGACCGCGTGAAGCGATACCCGGAGGACAGTGAGCCACCCTTTCGTCCAAACATCGACATTCTGTCTGAATCGGAGACTGATTGTGCTGATTACATCGTAAGTGCGATAACTGATTGCTGGTCAGAGAGTCCAGAGTTGAGGCCAGACTTCAAGATGATAAGAAGTAGACTTGCCAAAATGAAGGCTGGTAGACATAGAAATATTATGGATCAGATGATGGATATGATGGAGAAATATGCCAATAATCTCGAGGATCTAGTCAGTGAGCGCACGCGCCTTCTCTTCGAGGAAAAACAGAAAACTGAGGATTTGTTGCATCGAATGCTGCCAGAGTGAGTTTTCTGTCACTACCGGCTAGGCTACCCTTTTCATTATGCCCTTTCGTAATTGATTATTTATTATCATTCTCATTGAAAAAAGCAATACGACCGATGATAATATTATATGTCCCAATTTATCAGCCGCTAAGATGTTTCGGCTAAAGTCAAAATAATGAAAGAAAATTGGAAAATTCACGGGAGAAAATTCTTAGTATGCTGCATCATTGAGAATTCTTGCACATTTTTTTCACATCTCAGTTTCAAAAAAAAATAATAATAATGAAATTTGGATGTTTTTGTAACTCCTCCAGCTATAACCTCTCCGAGGTTACCCCACTCAGTTTTTCATGAGGAAAACAAATAATACGGAAAATTATGAGTTTCGGGAAAGGTATGCCCACCCACCTGTTCGCTTCAACCCGCCATTTTTTTGTTCATAAAAATTATATTACGCATGATTACAATGTTCAATTACTAAAAACAATGAATTTTTAGTCCTACTCTACAGACGCAAAACATTTCTGAAGTTCAAAATTCATTTATTCATGATCTATTTGTGGATATGTTTGTAGTTATTTGCGGATATCTTTGAATCTAAGGGAGACAGTAAAGTTTCGTTGATTTAAAATTATTAGAAGAGCTTTTTTTTCGAGTTTCTGGGGATTATTGATGGAGTTTGATTTTGGTTTTTGAACAGACCTGTGGCGAATTGCCTGACGAATGGAATTGGTGTGGAGCCAGAGGCGTTCGATCTCGTGACAATCTACTTCAGCGATATCGTGGGATTCACAGCAATGTCTGCTGAGAGCACACCCTTTCAGGTCGTCAATTTTCTCAACGATCTTTACACTATTTTCGATCGGATTATCAAGGGGTACGATGTCTACAAGGTTGAGACTATCGGGGATGCCTACATGGTGGTACGTAGAATTTTTAAGAAATTAATTGATTAATTCAGTGAAGAATTAAATAGTTGATTGATAAAAAAATCCATTTTGACAATTTTTTCATGGGACGGCTTATGTTAAGATGATTCATTATTTAAGAAGAGGTGAATTGAACAGATTTTTCATTCTGTAATTGACATTTTTTCATTCATCGGGAATTTCCCACACGGAAAAATTTATATTTTGATATTTCTTTAATATTTATATATTTTATATATTTTTCATATATCCTTCATAAATTTGAAAAATACATGCAAATGGATCATATTATATATTTTTTAAATTAATTTTTTGATGGGAGTGATTTTGTTCTGTTCTGGGAATTTACTAGACAATTTTCACTCTGAAGTGTCACAACCCAATCTTTTCACCATTCTCTTCACTTCATCTTCAGGTATCAGGATTACCAATCAAAAATGGTAACAGACATGCTGGCGAGATAGCTTCCATGTCACTGGAGCTCCTGAACGCAGTGAAGCAGCATACGATAGCCCACAGGCCACAAGAGACTCTAAAACTTCGAATAGGAATTCATACCGGTAAGAGCCAAGAAATACTAACATTTCCCAAACCCCTTTGAAACCACGGAAAAAACAGACCAAGCAAAATTTTTAAGTTGGATGGATTTCAAAGTAGCTCTACCCTTACGGTAAATTCAAAGATTATTGAAAAGTGCAACAAAAATTGCAGAAAACTCCATTAGATTTGGAACTTTAATGTTTTTCTCAATTTAATTATCGTTTTGGCTTTTCAAAGAAGAAATTTTTAAAAATCAGGATTTAACCACCCAGTGTCTTATGTGAAAATCAACATTTCCATTGGAATCAAAGATTAAAATCTGAATTTTTTTCATTAGATGTGAAAAAATGGAGAATTTTTTTGACACCTCATAAAAAATAATCCACCCTTTTGCAAATAAGTTTTATTATTTATTTATAAGAGGGAAATGTTTGAAAAAATATCAATATTTTGCGAAATTTAATTTAGATAATACTGACAGGGGATGAATTTTTTCAAATTTTTTCCATGCAATTTAGTTGAAAAATTAAAAAACTGAAAATGTCCAATAGTACAGCGTAGCCCAGCCGAAGGACAGAGCTACTTTAACATGTTTTGGATGTGTGGGCTATTTTGTCCTGGTCTATCCCCAATAACTGCAGACTGAAATTCCCCTATTTTCATTTCATTCTCAAGACACTTGCCTAATCTTCAAACTGAAACTCGACTCATCCAAAAACCACGCACCATTCGGTCGAGAGATATTCGCTAATTAAAAAAACAAATCCCAATCACCAACACAAAATTGCCTTCATCAGATAATCATCACTGAATTAATTAATTCCCAGGTCCAGTTGTGGCGGGTGTAGTAGGCCTGACAATGCCCCGATACTGCCTATTCGGCGACACTGTGAATACAGCATCGAGAATGGAGTCTAATGGAGAAGCCCTGAGGATTCACATAAGTGCACAGTGCAAAGAGGCTCTCGACAAAGTTGGTGGTTACATTATTGAGGAGAGAGGACTGGTGCATATGAAGGGAAAGGGAGATGTCAAGACTTATTGGCTGGTTGGAGCCAATGAAAAGGCCATTCAGAAGAGAGAGGTGAATTAAATTCCCACGAAAAAAAAACTTTCGATCTCAAATTGAAGATAATCCAGAGAATAAGACAAAATTCCTAACAAAATAGTAATTCAGACAGTTCAATTGTGCCATTTTTCTTCCCGAAAACCTCATACTGACACAATAGGGAACTTGCATGGAGCTCAATTCTTTCTAATTCCCCTATTCACACATTTCTCATGACAGATGAGGTATTTCACGCCAAATGAGTCAATTTTGTCTACGATTGGGGGGGTTGAAAAACTATCTATCAATTTTTTTTCCGATTTTTTCGGCAGCCCAGTTCGGAGATATGATTTTTTTTCACATTTTTTGTTTTTCTCCAATAACTCGAGTTCTATGTGTCCGATTTTTATTTATTACGCGTCAAAGTTTTCCAGTTATTTTTTTTTTCCATTCCTAGATGCTCATAACGAATTTTTTGGAAAAAAAAGTTGAAAAAGTTTAATTTTGCAAATTATGTCACTTTTGATTTGTTTCATGTTTTTCTTCAGCAATTCTTATAATCAAAACAAATATTTTTAGCCGTCATACAAGTTGGAGATCCTCCTGGATGTATTTTATTTTCAATTTTTTCTTTTCAAAATTCCGCAAATTTGGTCAAAACACCCCAAAATGACGTGGAATACCTCATATGGATAGCTAAACGGCCAAAATTATGGATAAATATTGCCTAGATGTGTTACGAGAATCAATTGAAAGTCAACAGTGGTTTTCGAGGCTAATTTTTCGGTCATGAGAGAAAAATGTCAGAGGAACTTTTTGTAGAGAATTAAATTTTCAACAAAAATGTCCAAAACCTCTCATTACTGAGATAACTACATACTAAGCAAAACAAAAATCCTAATCAAATCCACAAAAAGCAAAAACAAAATTTGAATAAATTGAAAATATCTCAGCAACAATTGGTTTTAGTGAAAAATGTCAAATAAATTTTTTGTAGAGAATTGAATTTTCAACCAAAAATGCTTTTTCACATTTTTCCCTCAAACTTCTCATTACCGAAATAATTCCCTCCTTAACAAAACAATAACTCCAATTAAATTTGCAAAAATACTAAACGTGATTATCTCTTCCCC